CTTTCAAAATATTCACTTCTCATCTAGTTTCTTGAACTTCCGTATCTTACTGTATCTCTCATTAAAAAACAGTAGGTTTAAAGGTGAAAAATAGGATGCTTAAGTTTGTTGTTTCGTTACGTATTACAAAAAAAAAAATTAATATGGCGTGACGATTTTTACTAATTGAAGTATTTTAAAATTTACAATTGACTGTATAAATAAATGACCATCGCCAATCATATTTTCAAATTTTAGCCAATTAAAACGAACTTCCGCTATGCTGATACAATCAAATAAGATGATATACGATATAATTAAAAAGTCTTCACAGAGATCTTTATCATAAAGGAGGATCACTCGGAAATAGCCTGATGATAAAACAAGGAGTATTCAAGGACTATATATATGCGAAACATCAGCAGTCACTAAAATTGATTTCCTTTAAAGCTGCGAGGGGGGAGCTATAACTAAGCACAATAACATTGAGGGTCATTGACATAACTTCCATAACATTCCATCCCTTCAATATTCCCTAATGCGAATCTCAAATGATCAATGATACAATCAATGACCATTAATCCTTCGATATTTCCTCCGCAACTAAACTTTGGGATCGTCTAAAGCCAGGTATAAGTGATCTATATGTGTCATGTGATTTTTAGTTACGTAAAAATTTTTAGTACGTAATCAATTTAAAAAAATCTAAATTTGGAAGATCACAATCGACTATCACTAACATCCGCTTAAAGGTTTTCCCGAAGCTACGACAATAAAGAATTAATTATACACGTGAGCAAATATTATAGCAAATAGCGAAAAGGCAATTATACTAATAAGAAATAATGGAAAAGTTTACAAAAATAATTTATTTCTTATATACGTACAAAATCGGTTATAATTACGCAGTTTGCAATTTACCTAAAATTGATGTAACCGATTTTAACGGTTCCAATTTTAAGTGTAAATCATAATATTAATTTGGAATGATCATTTATATGTACGTACGTACGTTCGTACAACAAATATGAAATCTTGCATGACCAAGATAAAAATATTTAAAAAACAAATGTGTAAATTAAATAATTTATCCTACAATAATTGATCTAGGATGATGAACAAGTTTATGAATGACTATTTATCTTGTCTAATATTTATATTTACCTTCTTTATTTCTACATCCAATGGTGCGACACCTATTGCGCCGGCTGGTCGTAGTTATTCTTGTTCTGTCATTAATAATAACAAACTATACGTCTTTGGCGGAGATCCTTTAGGCGTAATAGGTTAGAATTCAATAATTGAATAAGGGTTTACATTTAAAGTTCTTATTATATGTTATTATTTTTCATATTCAACAGGAACTCATCAAACTATGTATCTTGATATATCACTCATTGGTACACCAAACCCATGGTATCTTTTGAATGATATACCCGTTAGTGTTTCAGCAGCTAATGCAGTATTTGATGATAATAATACTGTATATTTGATTAATCTCAATATGATATATGCTTATAATATATCTAATAATCAATGGTATCCAACGGGTTCAAATGGTATTGTACCTCAAAGTAGAACTCAGGCAACTGCTGTTATTGATAAAAGTAGAAAGATTTGGTATTTTGGAGGAACCAATGGTACTACAAACATTTATTTTAATGATATTAACTACTTTGATACTACTACATATTCTTGGTCTTTTGGATCAACCTTTAATGCTCCAACATCTCGTTTTAACATGGTTTCAATAATATTACCGAGTGGAAAAATTCTTTATATTGGAGGTGTTGATGGGTCTACTCGTAATTATATTAATATGGTACAGGTAATGTTGTTGTATATTTGTATTATAGTTCGCAACAAAAGTTTTTAGAGTCTCTGGTTTCATTCGTAGTTTAAATATGAATGATAAACATTACTTCGTACTTTATTGGATAACATTCAATAAGTTAATATAATGCCCTCTTTAAAGACTAAGTTTAGGCAACTTATAGTATAATTATTTTTCATATTTGATATGAAAAAGTTATCGGTAAAAAAGTTTTCGAAGGATTTTCTTAGTGGAATGACCTCGTTTAGTGAGAATGATAAAACATAGTAGACTAATTGATCATTTGCAATACAATCCGACTCGATTAATAATGTCTTTGTACTTTGTTAACTATAATCAGATTCCTGTTTATGATACAATATCGGGAAATTGGTCGGCTGTGGTATATATTCATTTAATAATTTACAGTATTTACTGTAGGTTGGCTAAATAATATGCATACAAAAATGTAACTTTTTTTTTTTTTGAAATTTAGAATGCAGTTGGTGACATTATTCAAGGACGCGAATTATTTACGGCAGTACTAGGTATTCTAATGATTTTTTAATTTGCTTTTAGAAAAGATCTAACTTTTCGTTTTTTGTTTAAAAAATTGCAGCACCAGATGGCAATATTATAATTTATGGTGGAAATAATATTAAATATTCCCCTATTCCAACAATGGCAACGTTAAATACAAATACCTCACCATACACATGGACCGCTAAGCAAATTGGACAAGATGCTCCACAATACATAACTGGCCACGTGGCAGCAATAAATGGAACTCATATGATAATTGCACTTGGTATAACACACGAGTTTTTATAATGTTTTTTAATGTATTCGTTTTTATTTATTAATTACATTCTAATTAATATAGGCGCTACCTCTAGTAATGGGACCTTTGATTTCACAACTAGTAATGCTATTATTAATCATCTTAATTATAATATATATGCCCTTAGCATACAAAACAGCGTGTGGTCGTTAAATTCAACTACACATACTCAAACAGCTACTCAAACACCTACCCCATTTTCACCCTCTTCATCTAATATAGGTGCTATTGTGGGTGTTATTATTGCTGTAGTGATTATTATTATTACATGTGTATTAGTATTTGTAATTTATCGAAAATGCTGTGATTCGAAAAATATTATTCTAACACCAGGTAGTCGTGATACGGAAAATATTATTCCTATACCAGGTAGTCGTGATACGGAAAACATTATTCCAACACCAGGCAGTCGTGATTTTGAACAGCCATGATAAATACATTACATTCTTTATATATCATTTTGTTAAATTTTACATATCAAAATAATTATTAGATAGTCATTAATTTAAGATTAGGTTATGAAAAAATTTTGTAAAGAAATAGCTATTATAAAAAAATATCAAATTTATGAAAAAATTTGCTTCTCCTTATTTATAATTAATACGTATTACTGAAGCAGTTGCACATATTTAAAATTAAAATCTAATAATATAAGCTATCGAATATTTTAAACTACCTTTAACGATCAATTTTTTTATTGATGTTTATTTATATTGAAAACATTGTTTGCGGTAGAATTTTATTTGGATGTTTATAGAAGTATAAACTTGATGTTATTGATTACTCTAATATATGGGCTAGGTGCTGGGAAAAGGAACGAAATTCAAAAAAAAAAAGATCTTCGAAACTCAATTTTTATGATATACAGTCTATAATAAATCATAAGAAAATACAAACTTAATGAGTAAATTAATGTGCTATACTACAAAATTTTATCAATACAACTACTTTTGTGTCTTAAATAAAAAAGTCATATATTCTTAATTAATTTACGTAAATATATATATATATATATTTTGAAAATTGTCAATTTCGTCCTTTTTTAAGCAACTAGCCCATATATTTAAAATTTTACTAGTATACGTAAATAAATTTTAATTGGACTATATGAAAAATTTCTTATAGATTTTTGGCAAAATATTCGGAATTATTAGTTTTCAAAAAATGGTCCTAATAATTCTCAATTATTATTTTTAGCAATTTGCAAATGATGTATTTTTATGATGTCTGAGATTCTGAACAGAGTAAAAAATTCAGCTTGAAAAACATGTGCGCACTTATATGATCACATGCCTTCTTCATATTAAAATAAGAAAATTTCATGTGCGATCCGCACATGCACACATCGAATTTTTCACCCTGATTCTGAATAGTTATTACAATACAAACTTTATTTTATTTACTAGAATAATAGCAATGTTTTGAAGTTTGAAACCTTAGAATGGATATCGAATTAAGCGTAGTTCGCATCGTAATTATCGTTATTTCCACTATGAGCTACAGTGTTATCCAGGTAACAATAGTCTGTAGCTGTAGTCAAAGTTAAATTAGTTTGTATTGGATAATATTATTTATATCATGAGTTATTGTAAAAAATTTTGGTACAAAACTTACTCGCTACTCCGGCAATCTTAATATATGATTAGTTTTAAAATGTGTCCCGCAAAGTAAAAACTTAGACTTTTGATTTCAGAAATTTCACTTTTCGAACAACTTATCAAATTCTTACAGTAAAACGTATTTTAAAATTGAAACTTTAGAAATCAACAATTCTGGGTTTTCGCTTTGCAACACTCAAATCATAAAAAATAAATAACAACTGAGTTATAATATTATTATGCAGGAGACTATCATAGTTAAGACTAGTGATCAATTATAAAAATTAATAATACGTACGTTATTAATATTTAATGATTAATAACTTCGATCATCGCTAATAATATCGATATGTTGAATTACGTAAACTACTATCGGAGTAAATTAAAAATTTAGTCCGTAATATGAGGAAGTATCTGAGCAAATTATTTGAGAAAATATTACGCAACTTTTTGGTTTTTTATACATCCTTTACTAATTAGCTGCGTCATATATTATTAAGTCGTCATTAGTTAATAATTCGATCGATCAATTAATAATAATTGTTAATTATTAATAATTCAGGAGGTCACACCTCTGTAAATTTTTTACATATTGATGATCTCTCAGATTAATTATGAATCGATTATGATAACATTAATAATGCAAATGATTGAAATATTGCGTAATAATATTTGAACTACAATTTATTCGAATACATGATATTTATGACATTCATAAAGATAACTTTGGATGTCGTAACTGGATACCAAGTAGGTCCAACCATATGTATTGCATAACATCCATAAAACGGACAAACTTCGAATAAAATGATATCGATATAGATAGAATATTTATGTACCTTGATTCACAATACTTCAATTCACATTAAAATTATTAGGATTTTTTTTTATTCGATACGTATATAACGATTCATGTAATGACAATAATCAAGAAAATCGTAATAATTATGGATTTGACGATCATAGATGATTGAGAATGTTGCAACAGTTGCATATTTGACAATCATACTGATAATTGAGAATGTCGAGGTAATTACAGATTCAGAAAAACATCGTAATATTAGATGGCATAAAAAATTTATATAAAAGAAAATACAAGTTAGCAAAAAGTTAAAAAAGTAAAAAATATAACACCGAGAAAATAGAAAATATGGAACCACAGCAAAATAATTTAGATAAAAAACAAGAGCAAAAGTCAACTTTTATCGAAGGAGCAAAAGAAGCTATTTCTACTGTTCCAGTACCAGTACCAGAACCCATATTACCAGCTCCATTACCAGTACCAGAACCCATATTACCAGCTCCATCAAAAGAAGGAGCTACACAAGATGAAAAACAAGAGCCAACTACCGGTATTATCGAAAGTTTAAAAGCAACTGTTCCTACTGTTTATGCTTCAGATATAGAGAGGGAAAAAGAAGGAGCTAAACAAGTCTATGGAGCAGTAAATACGGTTGCTGATGTAACAGATCCAGTAGGAGGTGCAGCTGTGAGAACTGGTCAGTATGTTGCAGGATCAGCAGGAGAGGGTATTGGTAAAATGTCTGGTAATCAAGATTTAAAAGATGTTTCCGAAGTTGTCAAGGATGGGTCTCTTGAACCATACAGAGGATTCATTAAATCTATGAAATAGTCGAACAAGTGAGAGGGATAAAACTATTTATCATGGTTATGGGATGATAGCTTAGGTTCTTATGCATGTGGTCCTTGAATTGTAGTGGGATAAAAATGTTAAAGCTTTTTTATTGATATATATATTTTTTTTGATATTGCTTATTGTTGAGAAGTTCAATAAAAAATTGCTTTCGAAAACTAGATAAACTGATAAAAGAAATTTTGAAGAACTATCTAAAGAAACTAACCATTTCATTTTCTTACTTTTTAAAAAAAAATCATTACATATATGTAATCGCAAATTATTTCAACTAATAGATTAAACACTAATATTCATTAACTTAACATCAACCATACATTTTAAAAAAATAACGACATATAGGAATCACAAATTATTTAAACTAATGGAAATATGTGTAAAAGTTAATAAACGTTAATATTCATTAACTTGATCAAATATTTGTTATAAACTTGGAAACGTGGTTACTATGTTAGTGATTAGCTTGTCAAAGCAATCATTATTGTAAGATCAAGAGACTTTATTGCAGATATAGATAGGTAAACCTGTTTTTTTAGCATATTTTGGGTGTATTAATAATGATTTCTAGTACCTTATAGGTATAGCAGATAAATCCATGATCGCATATAATTATTTATCTTATAATAAAATAAACCAGTGGTGAACAATAACAATAATGAGTTGGTTAAAAAGTATGATTATGCATTTTGTAATAGGCGTTTTAATGGTTAATTAAGATTGGTTCTCTGCGTGGTAATTTGGGCCTCAGTAATGCTCGCTCAATCAACCCTTCCCACATACCTGCTTTTTCTTTAATCAGCCCTTCTCGCATACCCACCTTTTCTTTAATCAGCCCTTCCTACATACCCGCTTTTTCTTTAATCAATCCCTTCCTACATACCCGCTTTTTCTTTAATGAGCCCTCCCATATACCCGCTTTTTCTTTAAGTGCCTTAGTTATAAATTTTAACAATTAAACTTGGTAATTAAAAAGGTAAAATATTAATTTTTAGATATTGGTAATAATAATAAACCATTTGGGATTGGTGCTGCAAAAAGGGACCAAATTGACAAACAAAAGATCATCGGAAAATCAATTATGTTATAAATCTTATAAGAAAATCCAATTTTAAAGAGCAATACTGCAAAATTTTATTAATACAACTACTTTTGTGTCTTAAGTAAAAAATGATCCTAATCTTATTCTAAGTTGATTTATGTAAAAAAAACATCTTTTGAAAAAATTGTCAATTTGGTCCCTTTTTGTATCACCAAGCCCATTTAATAGTACTAATAAACTTCTAATTAAAAAATAATTAACATTAGTAAATTTTAGCATTTTAATCCAATTAAAAGTTTTTTAATTTAAATAATTTTATAATTATTGTAAAATGATGTGTAAATATAATGCAAATATAATATAAAATATTTTTGCTAAAATTTGTTATTAAGTTTGTAGCTAAATTTTAATAGTAATTCATAATAAAATCAGAATAATTTTGAACAATTAATTTATATTTTTATTGTACTAGAATAGTTAGTTTGTAATAAAATTTACAATCACTTATAGTAATAATTACAGCAATTTATTTTAATACAAACCAATACAATATATTGTATATTACTAGAATAGCAAATAAGTTTTATAATAAAAAGTTTTTATAGTAACTTACAATAATTTTGATGTAAACTATTTAACTTTATTTACATATTGCAATTACTAAATTGTAAATAAGCTTTATAATAAAAATATTCAAAAATTATATATCACATCTGTGATGTTCAACACCACAATAATTTTTGTTTATAACCTGCAGTGTAATATATAAATCAAAATAAAATTTAAAATTTATTAAAATTAGAGTTGGGTTAAAAACTGTGATGGGCAGGGACTTAGTTTATACCAAAATTTTGCATGGAATTTTTTCTGTTAGAAATCAAAAGGTGATTTCATAGAATTATACTCTTTTTTTTTAAAAAAAAAATAATAACAAAAAACCTACATCACACCTAAGCTTCATGTTATACTGCAGTTTATAATAAAAATTTGGGGAATTTACATATAAGGGCCCAAAAGATGAAAATAATTATAAATAAGGACCCAAAGTGAAAATAATTACAAGAGCCAAAATTTTGAAAATGTTACAATCAAGGGTCAGATTGTAAATTTTTGCATGAATGTAATTGTCTTTTGACATTTAAACATATTACTTTTTAATCAGTATTGCATTTATTCTCTTTAGCGCCTTTCATGCAAAAATTATAACCACTTTTGCCGATTATTAAAAGTAATTTATTCTCTACGAATAAAAATGAGCTTTCTTCGGTTCTAAATATCATCTATTAATGCATAGTAATCTTCACAATATATTGATTCACTAGTTTGGTATAGCGATAGATAAACATATTAGTTTAGAATCGAATAAACATTACAATTACAATATATATCATAATTAACCTAGTCAAATTGTTTCTTGGTTAAAAGAAAGTTCATAAACGAAAGGTAAAGTATAATATGCATTAATCAATACATAACATACAGTTATAGTGTTCAAAGAAACACCATCATAGTTATTTTGGCTGGCCCTTAATTGTAGAATTTTTCAAAATTTGGGCCCTTATATGTAATTATTTTAACTTTGGGCCCTATTTGTAATTATTTTCATTTTTCGGGCCATTATATGTAAAAATTTTTGTGTTAAGTGATTTAACAATGCAAAAATTAGAACAGGTTGGGGATAAGGTAGAGTTGTTAAAGTTACACGCATGCTGCCGCAGGGACGATGATTTGCTGTGTTTCACAGAACACCACAGAATTTTTCTTAAATACAGCAAACCACAGAAATCACCATTGGTCATCACAGAATTCACATAATTCACAGAATTTTCTAAGAAAAAATAGCACAGAATATCACAGAATTTTAAAATATCATAGCATACTATAAATTTAAGTCGGCACCGGGAAATCTCGGAAATGTAGGCAATAAACCAACGTAAATTACGAGCACATCAGTCGGGGAGTTGCGGAATTACTAAGAGAGATATCACAGAATTGTAAGAATTTAATCGTATTAAGCGCAGAAATTACAAGAGATATCACAGAATATGGCCAAAACACATCACATCACAGAAATTTAATTAATCACACGCAGAATTTTGTTTTATTCACCGCAGAAAATCATCATCCCTGTGCTGCCGTTGTAAATTTCATTGTTACTTATGTGAATTACTTGTAAGTTATATAAGCTAAAATAACTCCCAGAGATGAAATTATTCATAATTTAGGGGATGATTAAAGCTATATACTCATTGAAGATTTAATTAAAGTTAGTTAGAGTGGGGAGAGTGGGGTTAGCGAAAGAGCAAACTTGCAGATAAATTGTCTCTCCGACATTTTTTGTTAGTGCTTCAAGACAGGTTTAGACACTGTTTAGACTGCCGTCTTTCATATTTTTGCATTTTCTTTATTTTTTAATTTCTTTGGGCTGATCCATGTAAACAAAATTTCGCGATCCCTGTTGATTGATTTACACAAAAAAGTCACATGGCTACATGGCTTTAAACGACCCACTAGATAACAGAATTTTTTTTATGAAATTATGTGACGAAGATTCATGTGAATTGATTTTTGCGCTAAAAAATTCATATTGGAGTAGTGAATTCTGAAACATAAAAAGTAAACGCATTTTGTAAATGATCGTCATGCACTTTATCGAGACAAACCCTGTTAAAGATTGTAACCAAATTTCATACAAGATATAAATATGGTGGTACATTTAATGATGCTTTATAATTTTGGTTTGCCACATTTGATTGTGATGCGTTATATTTTTTATTTGTACGATTGCTTTGTATCGAAAAACATTCGCATTACACAACACACTTTGCATTTGTTTGGACTATACTAGCGAATAATTTAGGCCGGAGGTGATTTTTATTGAAAGTTGTCAGAACGGCTATGACATCCCATGAAAAGCAATCGTAGCCGGTGGTTTCCCGCCTGCCGAAGCAAGCCGGCTGTAAATAATTGCGCTGGGAGTCACCGTAGGATTATTGAAGCCGGTGGAGTTATTCCCCGTCTGTCAAAGCAAGCCGGCTGCGAGTGAAGAATGCAAGTGAAGAAATGCAGTGAGGAAATGATAGAATCACGTGTCTTCATCTCAGGGTGGGCTGGGTGGGTCGCGCAAATTTTCTGTTCAAGTGCATGTGGACCTGGCTTCGTCATATCTCCTTTTTATACTTACTATTTTTATCCTGTTTTTATTCCATGCATATTCCATTGTCGTTAACCATATTAGTATTTGACCTTTGTACGCCGTGCCCCTTCTTTTAGCGCCACCTTCTGATTTTCACATGCTTTAGTACCTGTGATGGCACCATGGGGCGAAGTCGTGTGGTCCACTTCACGAACTAATTTCACCAGTTACATTGGTTGCATTAGTTCCACTAGTTGCATTTGTTGCGTGTTGCTCTTCTTTTCGATCACGTGATCTACTATCACTTCGCAAGACTGTTTATTATATTTATGGTGTATTGTATTCCAATCTCGTTGTAAAAAATTTACTCATAATCCTTAAAAAGGAAGTTTTTACTCCTGCCGTTTTTATATATTATTTATTTAAATTTGATTTTAATTTCAAATTCGTCAAAAATGTGTCGGGAATTAAATTTAAAGTTATTTTAATCGATCAATCGAGCTTGTCATTAAGATGAGTAAAGTAGATTATTACATGTAAAAAAAATTTAAATAGTAAAAAAATGAGGAGTTTGCCATTTCAGTCAAAAAACGGTTTGTCCCAAACCACCTTTTCTTTTGCCCTAACTTATCAAAACTTTATAAATATTATAATAAATAAAGTATTGTTCAAGTGTTTCATACCTTTATTATGGATTTTATTATCGACGCATATTTTTTGTGAAATTTTCGATAAATTATTTAGAATCCTCTCAACTTGTGATTGAATCTTTAATTTGACCTATCGTTGCAATTGAGCATCACTACAATTATTAAAAAATCATAGTAATAGCAATGTTTGAGCATCTGGGGTCTTTGCCTTGAAAATGACCTGACCTTACGAGACTATGTAGATTTTATGAATAAAAATTAAAATTTCTAGCTATACAGTAATCCAATTCAAATAATCCTTTTTTTTTATTTTATAGAGCTTAGTGTGTTCTACAATAAAAAAAAAAAAAAAATTATTTGGATTTGATTATTAGATGACTGAAATTTTAATTTTGATTCATAAAATCTACAGAGTCCCATAAGGTCATTCTCAAGGCAAAGATCTCATATCTCAATACTATTGTCATTCGTATTATTGACTTTTATCCAAAATGTTATGGCAATAATAAAATTACTTCATAATTCTTGTGCACTATTTAAATCACCATGAAATCGCATCTCGATTGATTCTTGAGAACGCCCTTTATTTCATTTCAATGTATATGTTATTAAAAAAAATATATTACCGATTGTGAAATTATTATCAATTTATAGTATGAAGTATTTATTTTTTCTATTATCATGAGCGTTTCCATGCGTGTTTTCTATTTCCCCCTAATTTTTGTCGACTTTTGACGAATAGATAATCATTGATCATCAAAGTTCGTAGCAAAAGGTTCTTAATTTTTTTACCATTCGCCAAGGTTATTTCTTGTGGCTGTGTTGCTTGAAAATGTTGTTGCAAAATATTTTCCCATGTATGTGGCTTTACTTATTAGCACATCTTCAATTTCGATTTACGTAATTTTCGTGACTATAAAAAGGCTAAATCTAGGTAAATATGTGATTTTCAATATACGTACAATGAGGCTTAAAGAATAATTGACCGATCAATTTTTATTAGTTTGTCCCAGAATTTATCGAAACAGCTGTTAATTTTTTCCGGTTCCAATATGATGAGATTATCAAAATCGTTCAGTAGAGCCGGAGATATGGCTTTCAAAGTTTGGATACCGTTTTTATATAATCTAAAAATTATGCAATACGTCTCCCAGACTTTGGAAGACCATGTCTCCAATTCTACTATCCGATTTTAATAATCTCGCCAAGGACAAATTATGAGAACAGCTTTATTTGTGGAAAACAGTAAAATGAAGGTTACTGAAATTTATTAGAAAAGTCTAGCCGAATCTTTTTATTATATAAATTACATGGTTCTTTGCCTTGAAATTACATTATGAAACATAGCATGTTATATTTTTCATAGTTGATTTATTTTCAAAGCAAAGACCTTGCATCTTTAAATGGTTTTATATGAAAAAGGTAGATCCAGCAAGACTTTCGTAATAAGGTAATCTCCATTTTCGTATTAAATAAGGTTATTCTGCTAATACTTTCAGTTGTAATGGTGGTGAGATCATTAAACCAATTTAGTAGGACCGGAAATGTGGTCTTTTAAAGTTTGGGAGACGTTGTAAAGTATATAAAAACGCTGTCTAAACTTTGAGAGGCCATATCTCCGGCTTTACAGGGTCGATTTTAATATTATAGTCCTTAGAATCGGAAATATTAGAACGATTTTACTTAATGTAAAAATGGAGGTTAGATAGTCAAAAATCCTGTTAGATCATTTTCTTTACTTTTTTTTTTATTACGTTTATTATTGTCGTGTAACGTCATTAAACAAATATTTATATGAAATCCTTTACACAAGCAAAAAATTTTTTAATAAATTTAGATAGTGTGGGCTGAAAAATACCGTTAATCATAACATGGTGATTCAGAGCAAACCTAATTCGAAAAATAAGGATTCAAAGGCCTTTTTAAATTCCTAATTTAGAAAATGAAATAGAAGTCTTTTATAATGATATATTATTATCATATTGTGCATAGATTTGGATAGTGTGGGCTGAAAAATACCGTTAATCATAATAAGGTGTTTCAAAGTAAACTTTTTTTCGAAAATAAGAGTTCAAAAAGCCCTATTTAAAATTCCTAATTTAGAAAATGGATATGAATTATGAGTTAGAATTATCATCATATGATACTGTCGTAATAAATTGATAAATATTTAGATCAAAGAAATTCACAATCATAAAAAGCTTTAATTATTATTAATAATAAATAAGCGTACAAATAAAAATTAATAGAATTTATAGACGAAATAAATACGTCACTAGTTTAATTCAAGTCTGATCATTAACTATTGAAAATTTGTACTGTAAAATTTGCTCGTTAAAGTAGTGAATTCGGTATTAGATTGTCCGTTATATCCATAGTTGACTCATTCTATACTTTATCTCTATCTTTTTCTTAATCCTAGACGTGATCTTAATATTATAAAATGGTTCAAGCAAGTGTACCCTCTATGAGAACTGATTGGTTAGCATTGCATAAACTCATTACGTACTGTGATGCCGCCTATACTCATTATTTAATTAACATATTACTAGGCATTTTACTCATAAGATCGATTCGAGCATTAAGTTCCATTTTACAAAATCACGTGATTAAAACATGTGTTTAATTGGTCTTGGTTTCGAGGATCACATCCCTAGTAAGCTAGTAATAAAACGGTGACGTTTTATATGGCTGGAGCCTCATGTATTAAGTTCTGAATTTAAAAGGAAATCATTGTTACTTGCATAATATCATTAAATCTATAGCATAAATTCATAAGTTTATATTAATACTCATGCGAACAAACCAACTAATTTCTGTTGTAAATTGATTCTTTTTTCCCCAATTCTCATAATCAATTACAAGAAAACTGCTAATGAAGAGTCAGTAAGACAACATTGTGATTATAAATCATAAATGCCCAAAAAGGAAATCACATAATAAGTCCTGATTTCTTCTCCAAGTATGCTTAATTGTACAAATTGAAAACACTTGTGGGCTATTTGGCATAGATAGCGTTAGTCCCGTATAACAGATTACTAATAAGTTTATTATCAGTTTATCAGTTTGCTTTTGCAAAAATAATTTTCGATAATCGGATTGCTGATTAAAATTTCTACAAAGGATGGCCTAAAATTTTATAATTACAGGGAGTGAGCAGGACATCGGTCAAATTCTTAATAGAAGGATGTTCTCAAGCATATGTGATTGGCTAATGATCGAGACCGTGTACAAGTATACATTATTTAAGTAATCATGATAATTTTTGCTGAAGATTCATGTTGCAAAATGCGAATATTTAATTTAGCCAGTTAGCACAACTCTATCTATGATAAAAAAAAAGATGGTCAAGATCATCTTCTTTTTCATTGTGATAATAAATTCATTTGACCGGCTAAACTATTGTTCACTAATTAAAAATTGAGCACCGACTATGAATTTAGGTGCTTGAGGGCACCTAAGGCTCTAAGGCTTCATTCCACCTCTCTCCGCTCAGCAAAAAAATCATATCACGCATAACTGAAAAGTTTGTTAGCCCACTTACTAAGTTTACTATTAATTTACTAACTTGTATAGCGAATTTCATACAGTGCATCAATTTTTAGTCGGCCAGATCTTTGCGGAAGTAAAATTCTCCTTTTTGGAATTTTCTTTGTCGATTCCTGCACGATGGCATCAAGTGTGAAATAGCCTAGCTTTTTATATAGCAAAAATTAAATTGCTAATAATATATATAAACATTCTTAATTATTAATACATGTTACATATATTTACTTACTATATTTTTTTTATAAATATGGTGAATTTTTCTTGACAAGTACATTATCCGCGTTGGAAGAGGTTAAACAGCATAAATTTAAGAATGGTCTTCAAATCTAATCTTCCTGATATTGAAATTCCGCAAGACGGAATCTTTCAATACGTGACAAACAATCAAGAAGGAATTTCAGATAATAAAATAATTTATATTGACGGGACTAATAATAAGGGTTGTACTTTTGGCGAATTCAAAAGTGAATCAAAAAGGTTTGCTGCTGGGTTGCGCGATAAAGTTGGGTTTAAACGTGGAGATGTTTTAGCGGTTTATTCCTTAAATCAGGTAACATATCATTCATTTATTTATTTAATTTTAGCGTAATTTTTAACTATTTTATTCTTTTAAAGGTTGATTACCCTATTGTCCTCTTGGGAACAATCGCTGCTGGTAATACATAATTTTTATTAATAATATTATTTAAATGATTCAGATTTGTTATTACGTTTTAGAACTAGAAAATGACTTCTTAAAACTTCTTTGATACGATAAAAATCGTGATTATTTTTTTAATCTAGAAATGGATCTCTTACAGTATAGGTTATATTCATTTTTTTCCGAGGGAGTAACGAATAAATGGGTGACGAATAATGGCATCGTGACTAGGGATGCATCAGTCCGGTCCGGTCCCTAAGAGGACCGTTATCATAGTATTTACGGTCCGGTCCTTCAAATGATTACAAGATTTTATTGGCCAAAAATGACGTAATTACTGTGTTTGCTGTCAGATATTACGTTACACCTGATCAAGAAATTTGATTGGGTGGTACGAACATAATAGTTATGTTTACAAGGACCGGTCCAAGGACTGGTCCTTTAATGGTCCCACGGTCCTTATCGGTCCTGGTCTTTTTCAGGACCGATGAGTCACGACGCCATTATTCGTCACTCCCTCAGAAAAAAGTGAATATACTACAAGAAATCCATTACATGAATACGCTTTTGGAATTGTAATTTACTATTTTAAATCCTGATTCCACAGTGACATCTTTTCCCAAATAGTTAAAATTAGCCGAATTGATGATAAAATTATCTTAATCTTAAATCATTTTATTAGAATTTCATTATTCTGATTTCAAAATAACAAATTATTGTTAAAAATTCTACCATAAAATCATTATTGTTTAATTTCAAATTATAATAATACATTTTTTTAGGAGGCAAAGTAACACCAGTTGATCCTAAATATGTAGCAAGCGAATTATCAGATCAATTAGTTGATTCTGGAGCATCTATTCTAATCGCACATCCAGATCTACTTGAAACCGCTATTGCCGCTTCGAAAGAAGTAAACATTCCTAACTTTAGGATATTTTTATTTGGTAACAATGAAATAAGAGGATACAAACCTTTTCGCTTCGAGTTAATTGGTGAACGTGAAATTGAACCAATTTGTTATACTCCGGAAGAAGCAAATTCAACGACGGCTTATATATGCTATAGTTCAGGAACCACAGGAAGACAAAAAGGAGTCGAAATAACTCACACGAATTTAGTTGCAAATTTAGCGCAACTTTATAGTATTGAGAAGGATCTTGGTCCGCACAGCGTCTTCGCAGGTGTTTTGGCATGTAAAATTATTAAAGTAAATACTGGTATTTATGATAATTTATTCAATACTAATTTTTCAAATTTTTTTT